TCGGGATGAGGCTTTGTGAGCATGCTTAAACGTTTTGCTTTGCTTTGTTATTACAGAAGCAGTTGGACAGCCTGCCGTTAAAGTGCGCTCCTGAAAGAACATAGCAATCAGCTGCTCGGAACTTCTCGATCCTCTTATCTCTCGTTGTCTTTTGCTGCAACTTTTCCAAGAAAAAGCTCAATTTAGTTTCCTTTCATCTTCTTGCCCAACGCTTTATTTCCTAATCATTCTATTAAATGTAGCCATTTCTTTTTTTTTTTTACTATAATAAATTAATTTGCTCTTTAGCACATGAATAAATGAATAATTACGATGTCTGAAGTGCTCAATTGTCTAACTCAATTATGTCGTTAGAGAATGATTAAATTTAACTCTTTTTTTCTTTTTGAATTTTTCCAATTTAAAAAATAATTGTAATATTCCTACTATTTTAATTAATATAAAGATATGTATGAATAATCCTAGCATATAGCTTCACTTCCAATAAAGCTAAAGATAAGTAGAAAATCTGCGTTGTGAATTTAATTTAGTTAAGTGATGGGCAGAGATCAGGATTGTTAGTGTTAACTAGAGTGGGAAGGGATTTAACGAAGATTTCATTGTTTGAAAAATAAAAAAAAAAAATTAATTTCTATAACATTTAGCTTATTATTAATAATTTTGCAGCCATTATGACTCAATGATAAATTTTTCGGCAAATACATCGATCGTAGAAAGATGAAAAAAAGTAAAAAATGATATCTTGTTTTAAAATCAGAATAAATCTTTGTATTTTTGAAATATTTGTTCAAAGGCGTTTGTCGAATTTTTCATTTTGGAGAGTTATAAAAGAATAATGTTCTCCGTGATTTGGGAACTTCTTCATTTTGAAAAGGATTTATTTGGAAATGATTTATGAGATCCAAATGAGTCAGAAAAGTGTTTTCCATATGTTCATTAGCAGTGAATTTAAATGATTGTGAATGATGAACATTCCAACCAATGAAATAAATGAATGGATTAAATAAAACAGTTTTGCTGAAACGTTTCCTCGAGTACGGTCATATTATCGTCTAAGGATAACACTGCTTGATTTGATTGATGTGAGATAGCAGAAGAATTACTTATATCTTGAAATAATGAACCTATGAAGTATCATTCATAGGATAAATTAAAAAAGAATGGAAGATATGAGAGATACACAAACCTAACAAGTTATGAACATTATTGTACTGTGCCGTATTTCTGCACTTATATTATCTTATTTGTTTACCGTAATATCTGTATTAACTTCTTCAATTGCCCTGCTAACACCACAATGGCAAATAGTGACAATTACGGAATTTCACACCGAACATCAGCATGGCCTCTGGATGGATTGTATCCTCGGGAAGAAGCATGTACAAGGTTGGCGCATTTGTAGTATTATCTAAACTTGATTAATTCCTTTAACTAAATAAGATTTCTTCGGTGGATTTTTTTCCCCTTTGTTTATAGTTGAATTTATTGATTTTATTAAAGACTAATGTTAAGGTCAAGAGGATTGTATCCTTGGGAAGCAGCATCTAATTGAACAGAATTTTATTTGTAACAGTCTGGAAGAATAAAAAAAAATGAAAAGCTATCAGATATATCAGTTCTTTACTTTAAAGTCTTAATTTACAGGTACATCTGAAAGAAGTCTTCATTGTACATATAAATTTGAAAGTGCTGAGAAGAATGATTTACAAAATGATGAAGATAATGAAGAGCAACATAAGTTTCACAGTAAGCTTTTAAAATTGATTCTATTAATTAGCTCTAGTTAGATGGAATTAAATCTAGTAATTTGCTCGATAAGCATAGCTATAAATGAACATCATATTGTATTTCTTAAAATACAAACATTTTAAATTGGTATAGCAAATGGATTAAAGTGGTATTTTCTGAGTAAGTTAAATTATCATATGATATGTTGTTATTTGGTGAAAAAATCTAACATTTTATTAAATTTTACTTCGTAAATTACAGCAATTAAAGTTGTAGTAATTAAAATTTATTATAAAAAATTATAGTTGTGAAAACTGAGTGAATATTTACAGTCGTCTGCTATGATCATAACAAAGAATTTAAGAATTCCTTGACATACTGAAGTACATCAATTTCATTAAATTTGGACAAAAAAGAAAAAAAATGCTCTATAAATTAGGAAAGATAAAGATAAATAATTATTCAGGAAGGAACAAGCGACATACCTTCTAAAATAATAAATCCATTCAGTTTTCAGAATGATTCGTTCAAAAAATATATTCATGACATATTATAGAAAATCATCCATCTTCAAAAAAAGGAAAAGACAAAGTAATTAATAATTACTTTCAGAATGTTTATAGGATTATAATTGCTATAAACGATGTTAAGATGCTAAAACTTAGATCAAATAAATATTTTCCAACATTGTTTTTTTTTTTTTTTTTTAACGACAAATTATAGATTGGCATAAAGCTGTTCTATGTTTATTGCTTCTGGCGATGTTAACAGCTCTTACTTTATGTTGCTTTCTAATGTGCGCATTATACTTTCGTATTGCAGCCCTTGTTTCATGTACCTTATCATTAATTGCAAGTAAGTTATTTCTCAACTATTACGTTGATATATGACTGTATAATACTAAAAATTACAAGCTACCTACATGCTAAAATACACCCTATTGCTTGTTTGCTGATTGAAATTTAAACTTTCTACTTCCTAAACAATCTAACACATAGATTAACGAAAAGGCAATAATATGACGATTGACCATGGACCTTTTTCGGAATGTTCATATTTTGGCGTATTGAATGTGGTAGTAGTTTTACTTTTCCGAATTTGAGAATTTCTAAGCAATAATCTGATATGTAAGTTAATTGAATGAAATAGTTTGACGGTTTAACGGTAATGTTTGTATCAGCTATCATACGATTGCAGTTTTCCCAAGATTTAAATCCATTTTATTCTTCCATATTCACGTTTTAGCAATCTTGTCAAGTGTTGCCATAGTTGTATTCTTTATTAATTCACACAAAGTTGAAATTCGATTTGTGCAAGGTATTACTCGAACATATGAGGTTTGTCTATGAAATTAATTTCTACAAAAAAAAAATTTTTTTTGATACACAAAAATTTATTACATCTTATGCAAGTGCGCTCAATAGTTTATGGTTGTAAAACTGTTTGTATGATATTCCTCTACCTCTACCGTGTAATTTTATATAAAGAAATTTTATATAAAATTTCTTAAATTACAGCAAAGGTGTGGTTATTCATTCTATTTGGCGCTTTCTTCGTGTGTCACTTTTCTAGCAGCATTCCTTTGTTCAGTATTTTGTACGGTGATGGTATTTTTACATGAGCGGAATCGTCGACAGCCACCAAAAACATACCCATTAATTAATAGTGCCGTGTAAAAAGTGAATTGGAATTCCGGTCTACAGTCAAATAAATGCTTATTGGTTATCTTTTCACTTCATTCCATGTGCTATGACAAGAAGTATTAAGTATGATGATTGAGTTGTACAAATGTCGAGTTAAATTAGCAGTGTAAACAATATATTGTTAAAAGTTTTAAAGTCTTGAGAACCCTAATTATCAGCTTGATAATTACCATCCTTAGTAATTAAAATTTCTCTCCTGAAAATCATTGTTTCATTAATTTGACATATTCAAAATTTGCAACTCCATTTTTAAAAGTTTATATGCTTTCCTTTTTCTTTTGAATGTATTTATTTTTCACTTCATAATTTTATAAGCAATCTTCCAGCAGATTTTCTGACAAAAATATCTAAAATTTGTAATAAATTTCTGTTGTTTCTAGCAAAACTCATATTGTTTTATGACAATTCAAATCCTACGAAATAATTGAAATGTTTTATCAATATGATAAATCATTTCCACTAAATGCTTTCGTTAATAAAATGTTATCCTATAAAATTATTTCTCAAAATACATCCGTTTTACTGCCAACAATGGAATATTAATTGACCTTTGTCAAGAGTGATTTTCATCATTAATATAATCACTCTCGAACAACTAATGATAAAATTCATTTTATCATGATCATCTAATTGTACCATATAGTACCATATCTTGTCTCGTTACATCCAAAGCATCAGTTATCCATAATAACAAAAACGAAGTAATTGCTCATTAAAAGATGCAATCAGCTAAATCTTTTAACCTTATAATAGCTGATATGATACGTTTTTGCTTTAATTCGCACATTTTTTATTCTGAAAAGTTTCGATATGTAACTATTCCTTATTTGTTACAATATATGTTGTATATTATGTGTATAATATATTACAGATAACGGATAAACATTTCGATATATATATATATATATAAGCATGAAAAATTATTCACTGAATACATTCTATTATCAAAGAAATAATTAATGAGACCTTATATTTGTGAATTTCCATGATGAAAGACGCAGATATAATGTTGTCTGAAATTTAACAATACTAATATGAATATGTGTAATAAAAGTATCAAATGAGTATTTTTAGCATCATTTAAATTACTTCGAAACAATAAAATACTTAAAGATTTAATCAGAACAAAAATTTGATTTGTTCAATGTTATTTCTCGTTTAGTATGAATAATTGCTAAAACAATTTACATAACATTAATAGTTTTGTATAGTTCGAAATTGAATGATTGATAAGTTTCCTTCAAAGAGAAAAAAAATGAAAAAAGGAAAAGCTGAGGAAAAAAAATAAGGCATAGCAGTTACCGGCATAGTCAATCATAATATTATTGGCACTGGGATGAGGAAATTGCATATAAGGTCTGCTTGTCGGGATGGGTTTGTTTAAGCCACACATTCTTCAGAAACTAGTTTCAAAAGAAAGTTGTGAATATTTGTTTGTTTTTTTGTTGGTTGGTAGTAGTTGTCATAAGTATTTCATGTGTGCTAATTCAAATTCCACGTAAGAACATGTAAGTTGAAATTTGCATGTATATATTTGGGTGTAACAGATTTGATATTTTCAGGCAAAAGATGTGGTTCGCTAACTTACTCGTTCCCCTATTCCTGCCATATCTTTTGTATGCTAAACGACAAGAATCATGTGAAGGTTTGATACCATTAGTGATGACACAAATTTACAAATAAATCATGGGTTGATTTCTGTTGCTTATAATTGCGTAAAAGGAAATAAAAAATGATACCATATAGTATTGAATGTTGGTAACGGGCTCTTTGATTCGGCATAATTGTGATTTAGGAATTTGGAATATGAGAAAATAATTTAATTTTAACTCTACTCGACATGCTTTAGAAGTTACTTTTGTGAAACACATCTAAACTTCCTAATTTTGATAGAAAGTATGAAATTTTTTTGCAGTATGTGAGAAAGTTTTACGTGATGTGATGAACAGTATGACAGTGAGTGATCGTAATGATGCAGGCAGAATCGATGAAGCACTGAGAGAACACTGTGGTGGAATAAAAGGGAAAGAGAACAAATTTGTCCGTTTTATTTGTTTCGTGTTTTAATTAAAACGTTACATTACGTGGATTTATCGCATAGTTGGATTTTCTTACCGAGAAACCCGTAAATTGTTGACCAGGTGCTTGTATGAAATGAATTCTTTAGATCTGGAATATTTACATTAGGTTTGGATGGAAAATTCTAATTTTGAAACTCGACTACTTATATCAGGTCTTTTCAGTGTTTTTATGTTGGTGCTTTGCCTGAATCCGCTACTTCTATTATGAATGATGTAGTGAAGCCATTATCTTGGTCTATGCCAGTGGAAAAAGTTTGCGAAAAGTTGCGTACAATGGATTCACAGATATGCGAATTGAAATTCGGTAGCTTTCTCGCATTTTTCAAGTGAAATGAAAAAGATAAGTATTATTTGTCATAGATTTTTCTTCTTTGAAAAAGGAAAAGTTGGGTACGAGAGGAGAATTTTGAACCGGTTAGTTCTACACTATTTGTAAGATGTTTATTTCCCGATGTTACAAGATTTGTGCGACAGCCACAACTATAGGATAAATTATTTTTATATGTTTTCTAGACAAGGATATTGATTGGGAAACGGTGGATCTTAAGAAACTAAGAGTTAAAGAACTGAAGAAAATTCTTGAGGATTGGGACGAGGTACGTTCGACTTTTTTCACTTGCTCTTTCTTTGAGGAGTATTATCTCTTCTGGGAAGTTCTGGAAGTCAGCAATGCTTTATTTTCAGTAGGTTTGCAACATTATAAAAGGTTGTTCATATTCGTAATTTCTTCAGAATTTCAGGATTGCAAGGGATGCACCGAAAAATCGGAATACATAGCTAAGATTGTAGAATTGAAGTCAAAATATGTGAAGAGTGAACTGTGATATTTTTTCAGAATTGACTTTAATTTATTTTCAGATAAAATCTGTTGTTGTCTTCATTGTTTTTGTTATTGATAAAATAAAGTAGTCTTAATGTTTGTCCTATTTCCTTTTGGTTTTTCCACTTTCCTATCTTTCTTAAAATATGTTATATAGTCGTTCATGCTATGTTCTGACATATCGAGAATAGTTTTAAGATCTGGATAGCGTTAACGAATAGGAGTTGCCAATTTTCAGATAATATTAATAGTTACTGGGAAGTGTTATATGAAGTGAATTGATTGAATGTTTGGTTGAGACTAGTTTTTACCCAAATTTGAATGTTTTGTGACAGAGTTTCTTTACCACTTAGATTAAAGGATGGTCAGATATGGCCTTATCTGTTTTGTAGACTGTGAAACATGTAGAAATGAAAACACGTTTCGATTGCAGAAGTGCATAATAGTTTCCAGTGTAAAAGACACCTGTGATTTCAGGGTTGCTGTTTCACTGTTGTTTGGGATAGATTATGGCAGGAGCGTTACCGCGACGTATTGCAAAAGAGACGCAACGTCTAATAGCAGATCCTGTTCCTGGGATTTCGGCTGTACCGGATGACAACAATGCACGTTATTTCCATGTAATTATCGCAGGACCAGAAGGTAGCCCATTTGCTGGCGGAGTATTTAAGTTAGAACTCTTTCTACCTGAAGAATATCCAATGGCAGCTCCAAAAGTCCGTTTTATGACCAAAATATATCATCCGAATATCGATAAATTGGGACGAATATGCCTTGATATCCTCAAAGGTTTGTATTTATATGAAATACATGTTAGGTTTTGGGAGAACTGGAGTATACGTTATCATATACCAAACCATTTCTACTTTTTATTATCGTCATTGCAGTTACAAGAAAAAGTGCACAGTAATCGACAAGTACTTACTACTGATTATAAATAGAAATAAACAAAATGATTACTTTGTTGACTTATAAAAAAAAAAAAAACTGAACGAATGAGAATAAAGACAGTTGACGAGGGATTTTGCTAGATGGACCTGTTGAAATGTTTAGATAGTTAGTGAATCAAGAAGTGGTAGTTCAGCTGTAGTGTCGTTAACCTTTTTCAGGATTTACATCCAAATTCCATCTCATTTCGTTACACTTATGTTGTTAAAAGAAAAAGGTTTTTTCAGTTTCAGTCTTTTTTTTTTTCTCCAGAGGAAGAGACAATAATTGAATGATATAACCTGCTTCGTCTAGAGAGCAGTGCTATTGCTCACGTTCACGGTCGAAAATTTTTACTATATTTTTTTCAGATAAATGGTCTCCGGCGCTCCAAATCCGTACAGTGTTATTATCAATTCAGGCCTTACTCTCAGCTCCGAATCCAGACGACCCGTTAGCAACAGATGTTGCAGAGCAATGGAAAAGTAATGAAAGTGATGCAATTCGTATAGCGCAGGAATGGACTCGTATCCATGCAAATGGACAGTAGCAGATTTATGTTTGGATGACAGTTGATACCATTTCCACTGGATCATAAAGTTTTTGAGTCTCTTTTATTTGTCAGATAAAATAAAACTTTTGATTCAATATCTCACTGAAAAGATAGAATTTATATGAGTTTGTCGTCTGGTGTGATTAAACTCCGTCATTTGGTGCATCAAAATTGATTTCATTTCCAAGTATCAGTCTCTAAATAACCGCGTCTTTAACATGATAGTTGATGTTTGTATTATTTGCATAATATGCTTTACCAGCGGCAGTTGCAAAACATTTCCATGTGGTCCATTTTCCTGATATTTCAAGAACTGATGTGTTTAAGTGGTACTTGTCATTCTTAATCGGTTTGTTTCGAAGTCCGTAATTATAAAGTGAACTTCTGATTGGCTGTGTTACTTGTAATATTTTTTAACTGTTACGTTTGATAAATTGAGATACTTATAGGGAAATTTATATAGAGATTTTTTGTGAATAAGACAGTATTAACTGCACTGAAAACGAAAATTTATTAGGAATCACAGAAATTATAGGATCTGTCACTATTTTTAGGATGTGATAATAAAGTACTGCTATGACACTGTATACTCTTTTTGGTCTAGAATGTCTGGATGAGTAGACATTCTTGGTTCAGTAAGCTTTCTTTTTAAGTTCGATTTAAGTTCCATATACATAAGCTTTCACATTGTAAGTGGAATCAATTGATTTTAGGGTTCAGTCGCAAGTGATATCTTGTTTATCATAGAGTGCCTTTTCCGTACAATCCGACTCATCATTAAAAAATAAGGAATGTGAGTTGTAGCACACTAAATCACCAGTCGATTTGTACATTTTTTGTTCTTTTCATCCTCTGTCTTATTGGTTTATGTAATAGCGATTATGTTTGATTAATATGTCTCTGATTTTTCTGTTTTCATATGTATATCTCAACCATCTTATTCCCTTTTTCAGTCTTAAAGTTTTTTACTCCATCTTTGTGCTCTCTCTATGTATTTCTACTTTTCCATAAAAAATTCTGTTCTTGATGATGAGATGTTTTAAGGTCACCATGTTCATACTGCATGACCATTCATATTTTTCTGATTCTGAGTAAGATAATTGATAGGCTGCTTTACGAAGCTGTTGACTGCAGCGTGTTTTCTCTATCTGTTAGTTTAACATTATTAGATTATTTTTGAGAAAAATGGATGGCTTTGTTTTGTGTGTTTGTATTGGCAAATGGTTGTTTGGTTTTCAGAAAAATGACGCTTCAGTGGTTTGTTGTGGCATTGATTTTATATCTGGAAATAGCGGTCGTACTGCTGCTACTTTTGCCTTGGATTCGTCCAACACTGTGAGTCATTTCAAAAAGGATTTCTTGGTTATCGAATATTTTCTGAGATAATGTCGCATTGACCAGCATTCTTGCCAGTTCATTTTTTTACAGATGGAGTAAATTTTTCAAAAGTCGCGTCGTGAATACGTTCGAAAAACACGCAACCGTTTATTTTATTTCTGCTCTCTGTATCCTTTTGCTTCTCTTTGCAGGTTGGGTTTTCTTTTCATTCTTCTCAAATTCTTCGGACAGATTAGGTTTATATTGTTTTTCAAGAAGGTTAGGTGCTTTCTTATGAATAATTCTTTTCACTGACTTTATTTTTTATAAATGAAAAATTGTTTTAGATGCTATTCGAGAAGTCCGAAAATACGCGAATGAAGTAGCAATAGAGGGTTCAATTCGTCATACTGCAGATTCAGAAAATGTTGTTCACATGCGGCTTTTTCGCGCGCAGCGAAATCTTTACATTTCTGGATTTGCACTCTTGCTCTTCCTGTTTGTTTACTTTGAAAATTTTATTTGAAAGCCTACGGGAAAATTTTTTTTCGAAACTTTTTGGAAGTACTAGTAGATTTTACTGTTGCAATTTGCTTTTAGGTTTAAATTGGCTGCTTGCTGTGCAGAAATAGTTAATACTTAACTTATACTGTTCTGTTTTTGAAAATTTTTCTTTTTTTTTTAGAATTATTAAGCGGTTAGTTGCACTTCTTTCTCGTGGAGCATTGCTTGAAGCTGCTGCTGAGGCTGCAATGAAGCAAGCTGAAAGTGCAACCAAAATGGCAAAATCTTATATGGTACAAATAATTTCCATGTTGAAACTGACAGTTTTCATTATTGTGTAGATTCTATGAGTATATTGATCTATGAGTACATGTCATTTATTCCATAGTTATATCAGTTGTATTAGCTAATGTAGTTGCTGAAATTTTTGAATGTCATGTGGGTTGTATTGCATGTCCATTTCGAGTAGCAAAAAATCATCTTTCTTACTTTTCTTACCTTCAACGCTCGTTTTTCATTCTTTCATTGAGGAGAGGAATAATTTCAATATAACCAGCTGAGATTATTTGTTTCAGTATGGTGAGGGCGAAAGAGAAAAGGAACTAGAGCGACAAGTGGAAGAGCTTGGCAGAGGTACTGCTTATGTGCTTCTTGTAATAGAATGTCCAGTAGTTCGGTGCACTGTTTATTTCCATCTTGATGTTAATATCTAGTACTATTAGTCTTGGTTATGAACAGATATGGTTGGTAACAATGTATCATGCTCTTTTTCTTACCGTACCTATTAATAATAATGTCGATTATTATATTCTTCATACTTGAATTGTTTTTGAAGAACTGAAATCAGCGCAAGTGGACAGGGACACTATGAAGGAGCAAGCAGAGAGTCTTGAACGAGAATATGATCGTGTTTGTGGCTTGCTTAAGCTGGCTGAGGTAAGTTTTCACTCTTTCAGTAACGATTGGTTCCTTTCTGACAGTAAATAAGCGGAAAACCTGGAAGCGTTTGTTTAATTCTAATATTTAAACATTACGGATTTTATATTTTTAATCCGCCCATCAACTCTAATTTCCTTGCTGTCCCGTTGAACTTTCTCAGTGCAGTTTTTTGTAACCACATTTAGAGTGGTCCTTGTAAAAATCATCGAGGAATGAAATTTGTGCAAGACAGACTTTCTAACTTATTTAACGTTTTCCAGAGAGCGAGTGGAGACAAGAAAGAAGATTGATGTTGTGTACTCGTGATCAGTTATATACACTTATGAAGCATGATTAGTTTCCAAACTACCTTTAGATTACTTTTAAGTTAATATAACTTTGCTGAAATCTTTATCAGTAGATAGCAAAGAGCATTTGTATTTAGAATTATATCTGCAATGTATGCCTAAGATCAGTCTTCGTTATCCATTCAGTTGTTCATGGGTAGTTTTTCACGCGCTTTTGAAACTGTTCAGTGCGCATATCTTTTGAACCAGTTCATTGTTTATATTTCGATACTTCCCTGTCTGCTGTCATCTTACAGCAAGTAGGATGTAAGCTATTTAGCAGTGACTGTTCAGATGGTAGGTTATATTCCTAACCATTTATTTTCAAGTTTACAGACGAATTCGTTGTGGTCTGTAAACCTTAATTATGGCAGAAGTTTACTGAGTTGGTTTAAGACGTACCGTTGTTGATTTGCCATTTCCATTATTTAATCTTTGCTTCCGGTATTACGTCTTTTAAAATGTTATCATTTACATAAATTTCAATATTTTATAAATATTCTCTTACGGCATAAAAGATGTGGCCGTTAAGCCCGACCCAATGTTGGAAGTTTTGAGCTGTGCTGAGCATTATTACTAAACATTACTCAGTACAGCTCATGAATAAATTTTTCACTGGATGATTTTTGTCCATTAAAGATAGCGTGCAATAAAACAAGTGCAGTAACAGCACAGCATATCTTTCTTCTTTCCATAAGCTAGACAATTAATATTTTCGCAAAATGGCAAAGACTTATGATTGTTATCATTTACCAAACATTCAAATTAGAATGATTAAGCATAACAATCTAGAAAACAGAAATTTACTTCATGTTTCAACGTTTCAAACATTCTTTTTCAACATGGGCTTGGATAACTGGGTTTGTTAATGAAAGAAGAAATGAACTAGAAATGTTATGAATGAGCTTGCCTACATTTGTCTACTTTTGTCGATCTCATTATTTGAAACAGCTGGATGTGAAAATGTGAATGGAAGTCACCTAAGTCTTCGACATGCAGTAGATGAGACTACAACAGCAATTTACAACTTCGCACAATTACCTAACAAGGACTGTTATTTAAATGCGGAAATACTGATAAACAATAGATGGGAAATAGGTTTAAAGGGATCGGGGGAAACGTGAAGGGTTTTTGAATGAGCTATAATTCCATATATCACCTTCGTATGGTATGAAGAATATTAGAGCAAACTCATGTATAACATGAACATTCAAAATTACAGTCAAAATGGTATGATTTCCTTGAGTGATTGTAGTATTTACAGGAAAAGCCATAACTTTACCAATCACAAATGTTGCTGTACAACGACGAATTACAGTTCCATTCCCTGTGTTTCGTCTGTAAACAGATTTGCAAAACATAAGGAACTTAAGTACAGGATGATACATGGCATTCTTACATATAAGGTTTTTCCATTGTCACCATTCGAATAAAGTGAGAATGTTAGCACTAGCGGTTAAAAATGTACCTTCCGTAAAATCAGATATAGTGGAACTCGATTCATCTCCGCTCGACGAGCTTTGAGGTTCCTTGTTAACTTCGTCCGTGTTGATGCAGTTCCTCAAAGCCTCTTCGCTGGCATATTTAAGCACATATTCTGTAATCGGAAGAGCTTATAAAGCAAACACTTTTCCAATTCTGATTTTCGAAAGCTACAATTTTCTGTAGTAAGTTGAGAGATTGAAAAAATACATACTTCCAGTCAGATAAGGTTCATGAAAGTAATTATTTTGTCAAAACCTCATATTCACATGTCGATATCTTGACTTTAGTGTCAAGATAATTTGTGACCACGAACCTCGGCACTTTTTCTTAAATTCTTCAGGCTTATGTAGGTATAGTGCAGCAGCATCACCGTTCAACGGATCTGTTGGATTAGGATACGTTAGTAACTGAGGCAAGAATGATTCGAAAATGTTTGCGAGATCTGCAAGTTAAAACTACATGCCTTTGGTATTTATACATTCAATAAATGAATGCTTTTTTCTTCGATATAACCAAGAGGAATGTTGTATATACTTGAACTATTATGTTATTCTGCTTTGTAGCAATAACTACCGTATAAAGCAGTCCAGGCTTGATTAATTACATCAAGGCAAACAGTGCCTGATGCTTCATCGATATTTGGATGATAAATGCGGTTCATGAAACCAATGGATGGCGATTTGAAGGGGTACTTTTCTGGCAAATCAACGCGAACACGCCATACTCCTCCTTCATAAGCAGCTACAAAAGGATATATTTGAAGCAAAAACACAATTTTTCAGTTATGTCGATAATGGCTGAAAAACCAAGCTGAATCTGTGGATGAATTAAACGGCTGCCATAGTAAGCTTTCCATCATACATCACAGTAAGATGTCCTATTTTGAATACTTCATTGTACTCTGATACGTTTGAAAAACTTGATAACTTGTACAAAACACTCTAATATCTATCATGCATTCCAATGAAGACTTACTCCCTTTTGGACCATGAAATTTGACAGCAAATTCATTAATACCACCTGTGATTGTTACTTCATGTTTACTTTCAATCCTGAAACGATGTGATGCGAGAGAAGTTGATAAAGAATCAATACAACATAAGGTATGATTACTTTGAATTTTTAGCGAAGATGAAACTTAAGTGTTTCGACAAACTTCTGGACAGAAGCAATGCAAAAAGACATTTTTCGTTATTTTTATGGTTGTAAATAGTATTAGTAATTTTAAAAAATTTTAATTTCTTTTACCTTTCATGTCTAATTCTAATTAAAATTTTTATGAATGACATATGAAAAGTTCTTGTTGTTTCCAACTTACCTATTCAGTATATTACATATTATTATTAGAGGATATTATCTTTGAATCAATCAATGGCCAATTTCTTATTCGATACCTATATAATGTGTGGAAGAATCATAAATAATTTATCCCTTATGAATTCATCATCTGATAATTTCTGATAAAATCTGATAAAATAATGTTAGATAAATAATATAAAATAATGTTAGATAAATAAATAACTTCGTTATGATAATTCCATTTACAGTTAACGAAACACAATGTAATAAAGCGGAAAAAAAAATATGAAAAAGTATACGAGATAAACTCACAATTTTATCACATCTGTATCCATTCGTCGTTTGCCAGCACTCGGAGACGACATTTTTGATTCGTTAAGACGAATAAAAATAGAGTGAGCAGAAAAACCTGCGCATAAATAATTCGATAATTTATCACTTAGTATTAATGTAATCGTTTAGTCAGCTGTTAAATTTAAGCAATAAGTACACTGCAGCGCTCAGAAATAAAAAATTAACAGTGAAAGCAATAGTGAAATAATGAAAATGAAAATGAGTTACGTAACTGCAAATTTTTATTTAACATATGATAAATGGAAAATGTTTCGAAGTTTTGTGCAACATTTTCTTTCTTAGTTATGAAACAAAAATGAATGAAACAATGAATCAATAAAAGAGATCACAAAATAACAAGAGGAAAATTCAGAAGTTTCTAAACATTTACGGATTATATCAATAAATAAATAAGGAAATGAAGTGCAAACTTTCTGCGGTGTGTAAGAATGAAAAATTTTAAGTATTGGAATTTCTTTTCAGTTCCTTTTTATTGTATGGGAAGATATTACTGAAAGTCATATTTACTGATGGAAAGAGAATTATCCTATAAGAATGACCAGTTAGTAATGAAATAATAATGAAACTTCAGTAAACATAACATGTCAATTATTTGAGAATCAGTATTTGAAAATTAGTTAACACACAGTTCATATAGTAGTGAAGTCATGAAGGAATTGGCAAAAAACGAGTTAATTAAAATTCTCTCTCTTAATCTCTGAACGGAATATGACCGTTTAATGGTATTCAAAAAGACGTATGTCAGTTTTTTACCGGAATTTAGCATAAAGTGAGATGAAGTTTGTATTTCTGCGCTCTGTGCGAAAAACAAAAGTCAAAACTAAGCCACCCAAGCTGATATGACATGTTTGACTGGATATATTTAATGCTTATTCGTCCATTCATTCATTCATTCATTCATTCATTCATTCATTCATTCATTCATTCATTCATTCATTCATTCATTCATTCATTCATTCATTCATTCATTCATTCATTCATTCATTCATTCATTCATTCATTCATTCATTCATTCATTCATTCATTCATTCATTCATCCATTCATTCATTCAATTCATTCAATTCATTCATTCATTCAATCCATTCATTCATTCAATCTATTCATTCATTCATTCAATTCATTCATTCATTCATTCATTCATCCATTCATTCATTCATTCATTCAATCCATTCAATTCATTCATTCATTCAATCTATTCATTCATTCATTCACCGGATCAATGATGTTAACACAGATACTCTTTCTCTCCTTCTCTCTCTCCCACCCACCTTCTCTCTCCTCGTTAGGCTTCTTTATTGCAATAGTGCATTTAAGAATACTCTCTCTCTCTCTCTCTCTACTGATATTCTGCAGTCGGGATTTCAAACTTGCAAAATCCGGAATAATTACTGGACAGTATCCTATCTAGTTCATTATGCTCACGCAATACAACGTTGGAAAGAAAAGTCCCCTATGCTTGCAAAAATTAATTGCCGTCAACGCGTGACCGCCGAGATCAATGAACACTGGATGGAGTATGTATGTACAAGTCTGTGTGTGTCTGTTTAATGTGTAGAGTGTGTATGCGTTAATGGTTAGCGTAGCTGTTGTTGTATGGGTTGATGCCATTCCAACTTCCCTTTCCGACGGTTACTTCCTCATTTCACTAATCATAACTTTTGTTTATACATTTATCTATCTATAAATGTATACTTTCAACTGATCACTTCGCAATACTTATATATATCAGGAAACCGGATATTATTTCCAGAGCTGGATATGTCACTAAAAATCTATTCAAAGGACACAAAATGGATGAATTATTTCAACGATCTCATAATTACAGTGTTATACAAACAGTAAAAGTAATTTTATGACAATAAACTTGAAAATTGTTTTATCTTTCTCACTGAAATGTTAAAATAATTGCATAGATACCAGCCTTATTAGTCACTTCTAACAAGAAATATCAAAGACGAAGATGGAATGAAGTGGTAGTAAAGAAATGGTTTGATTGACAAGAGAAGAATGTTGGCATGAGGCTAGCTTGTCAACATGAGGCTAACAACATAGCTAATGAAGTCCTGTTGTGCTGATGTGTGGCCGTTTGAAATCAAACAGGGCTTGCTTTTAAGGGTTGTACCACCTCGAAGAGAACCAAACAAACATCACAAATTCATTTCTCTCAGCCAGAGTCTTTTACATCTTTACATATCAATGAATTTCAACAATCTCCTGATCAGTCGAGTTAACCAGCTGTTGTGAAGACAAGCTGTAAACAACCGCAAGTAGTACGTACTCTCTCGTAACCTTTAAGTGCAGAAACATCAATAGAAGAAGAAGGACTATTGACTATCTCACGCTTTCTCACCTGTGCACAAGGGAAAAGACACAGCATCTTCCTGGTACGATTGACAATAGTTGGAACAAGTTCCATTCAACATCAGCATGTCATCCATCACGACATTGCGTAGTGGTGGAAAATGTCTCCTTGTGCGGTGTCACCGGACTTTCTAATGAACAGAGTAAGCGTACCCACTCCGCTCTTGAATACTGTCAAAAGGTCGAGAAAGGACACACACACATATACACACACACACATATACACACACACACATATATATATACACACATACACACAGATACGCATACGCATAAGTGAAATATTGTTAGACATAATTGCTTTGATTCTTCTGCTCATGAAACTTGAAATTTTCAAGAGATTACAAACAGATCATTGTGTTTCCACTAAAAAGAAATTCGTCTTTTCTTTGTCTTCTTGAAAAGATCGAAACTTTTTTAATTATTCTTTTACATTTTTTGAAAAGATTAGTGTGCAGCTCTTATTAGATGAATTTCGGCTTGAAATAAGGATTGAAACAAGTTGCTTCCTTCCCTCATGAAGAATTGATCAAAATTACTTAAATAATAATAATTTTGAAGAATTCTGTCTTAAAAATCAAACAACAAAGGACATAAATCATCCGAATATTTAAACCCTAATAACTAATCTCTCAGGAAACTTTGCGATATGCGGATTTGTGACAACTTTAAGAGAATCATTTCACTGAATGACCGAATATTTCCCCGGATGATATATTTGATGAATGATTCTTCCTGATACAACAACTACTGCTTTTTTTCTCATTAAAATTATTAAATATTAATTAATTGATGGAACCATGATCAAAACCATACAACAATTAAGAAAGGAAAAAAAAAAAAAACATTTGTTGAGTATTTGTAAAATTCACAAAATTTCCAAAACATCTCTGCGATGATAGTCAAATACGGAATTATTGATTACCCATTTTAAACATCTTTCTTCCTATATTTTTTTTATTTTTCTACGTCTTAAAATGTCCAGAAATGACTAAAATTATTGTTATAATGCAAAAGGACGGAAATACCACACTTCTTACGTCAATCATAGAAATTCACGGTAGGAAATTATTTAACAAGTCTCATTCACAACTATTTGGAGCATTTGGAGAATTGAAAGGCGGAGTTGATGAAACGCGAGGACTTACGAATCAACACAGTAATTACAAACATATTTATAAATACTCAAGTACACTTATATATATATGGATGGAGTTAATGAGAGTGAAGCGAATGAATCAATTGTTTTGTTGTGTCTTTAAATAGAAGGAAAGGATCAATTATTAGTGAAGTTCTATTTGTTCAGCATTAGTGGGTGAATTGATGACAAAATGATAAGCTATCATCAACAAAATATGAAATGACGAGAATTTCTAAAATGAAATGAGACTTTAAAGAATTACTGAAGTCCTAGAAATGGTAAAAGGAAAATGAATTTAGAATGAATTATGTTTAATTTTATCTTTGTTATGAAAACAGTGTCGAGAATTTGTGAATTATAATCGGAAGAAATAATAGATACACTTGTCTACTATTTCAAATGATTACCTAATGAAATTGATCAATTATGCAAAGGTTTTATGGTATGAATAATCATATCGTTAAGTAAAAGTTATAGTTTCTACTTAAAATTGTGTGATAAATTATTTTGAACTGTTGGAATCATTTCGAATAATTTGAGCAATTGAGCGGATTAGAATAGAGAAACATAACGTTTTTGGCTTCTAATGTTTTTATGATGTCAAATGATACATGATTATATCCAATAGCATATTCAAACTTTTTGCTTATGTACTCATTACTGATCATAACAAGGATAGAATTTGCAACTGCGCTGCTGATTTTTCAAAGCAGATTAGGACAGCAGATTAAGAAAAGATGTACTGCTGTACAATCATAAATGCATGTTTTGATATATTCAAGTCGATATTGTTAAAAGCATAACCAAGCATAATCTAAAACAATTACCTAAATTTAGACAAGGATTAAATTTGAATTTGCTCATATCTTGAGGATATTTTCGTATGGTTATCATGAGATATTTTGGACAACTTATATGGGACATCATATTTGACAAATATGAGCCTACAGTAACAGTATCAAATGTTACGCTTTTTAACAATCTTAAAATGCAATTTAGAGGTTAATGAGTGAAAGGTTCAACAAATATGGAAGTGTATGTTTATGGAAATTGCTTGGCGATTAGAGCATTACTTTCACTATAACTACTAACACTTTCATCATTTATATGTTTATTTCACATTAGGTAAATCATTTATTCTCGTCATCCTAAATGCCATAAATAGCGATTATCTGCTTGATTTCTAAGTAAATCCAAAATAAATAAAAATACCAAAACCTAAATAGTTTAGGAAGGCTAAATATAATTTGCAGAGAAGCTGATTTAATGAAATTTTATTTTTCTAAAATTTTTTTTGTAATTCGTTAATGAGTAACAGCTATAGGCTCTACATGCATGCTTAAATAATAATTCTTTTGTAATTAGAGACTGCAGAAAATATTAAACTAATTTTTAATTTTGCAAAATATATTGATCGAAAGAAGTTCCGATTGTATTTTGGTAGTTTTAAGTTGCTTGTATGATAACTGAAATAGATGTACAATGGAATATTATCTTAAGAACATTTGAGCACTCCTAAATCGTTTTACACCAGTAACATCGTAATTAACTTTTAGAGTTAAAACTAAATTATTGAATGAAAGTAATCATCACTAATTAGTATCATTCTTAGAAGTTACAGTTAATCCTGTGATTATGTCATTATATCACAAAACGCATTACACTACATGTGTGAATAATTCAGGAAATTGAAGAAACTGAGGATATGATAGCTCCTTAACAATTCATCTTGCATTTTAATAAGTTGAAACCTTAAATAACTGCATTAAGTAAAAGTAGAGATTATAATTTATTAATTATATATAATGACAGCTTATGAATTGATATAATATAAAAGGAAATGCAAGAAATTTAAATTTTTTAAATTTAAGTTTTTTTTTTTAAGTTTTTTTTAAGAAATTTAAATTTTTACTTAAATTTTTGCGGTATCATCAAAATTATCAGTAACTTTGATTTAAAGGATATTATAATTCACATAAGTCTCATAACATAAGACAAATGAAAATCTTCAATTATTTGCTGGTTTTATTAAATTTTCAGTGACTTGTCCTACCAAATTAATCTAAATCGTATGATTTGATAAAACAAACTTTGAAGAAGTAAACAATCTTATGCAAATGAAATAATGCTGAATATATCTGTACACTTGATGTTCCCTCATCGTTCATTCTTCTGCATATTTGTCTAAAATAGAAGAAACTGGTTTATAAGATTACCGGCAGCATTAGTTGATGGCTATTCGGTCAACAAATCAGTGGTTCCTGCACTTCACAACTTCACTGCACTTTAGCCTAGCCCTCTTTCCTCTTTTCACCATACTTTGCTTGCATTAGCTTTATGTGAAAATCAAATGCTGACCAAATTTCACACCCTCCAAAATATGCAAATTGATGAAGAACTAAGAAGTAACAATTCTTGTTTCAATTGCTGAAAATTACCAATGATAGTCAGAAATTCTTCACCTACACTGGCACGTTAGCATCAAATCAAACTGTTAATTGCAAAATATCCTAATGCTCATTTTAATACCGTTTCACTTATAAGAGTTATTCTGAAAGTGATTTTGATGAATTGGAATATTCAATATTGATTTGAATTTTATTAAGTTGCTGATATTCAGTATGGAAAAAACAAAATTTCTTACAGAAAACCCGTATTTCTTACTCTACTTCAGCATACCTTTAGCTTGAACAAATCAGAATAACTCTCATACTACGCCGAACTGTTCCTGTTCTTGCTTGGAATTCCTATCAGATTATTAATGAATGTTGCATTTCTCTTTCCTGAATAAAATACTTTTGCCTTTAAAAATTTATTTTAAAAAACATGAAATTAATCAACAATGATAACAAAAATATATGGCAACTTGGCAAGAAATATATTTCGATATTCGGACATGATTTTAGAAATATACCCAAGAAAAAGAGAGGATATCCCTTTCCTCTTCAATTCATCCGTACATCAGATCATCCGATAATCCGGTCTATCTGTACATTGGACAAAATAATATATCATCGTCGTACAACATGGCTTAATTTTCTGGTTTAGCCATTATCAATATATGATTTAATTAAAAAAGAAAAAAAAATTTCAGTTTTTCAGTTCACAAATTAATCCACACTAAAATAATAAAAAGAAGATTCAGAAAATCTAGGATAATGCGTTGAAAGAGGATGAAGAAATATATGGGCCAAATCACAGAAAACCTCGTTATTATGATCATTGCCAGTGGTACAAATAAGAAAAAAAAAAACATCTCAATACAAAGTGGAAAGAAGACATCAAGAACAGAGGCCTCTAATGAATTTACAGGCACTACGTCATTCAAAGACATATTATACCATTTATGTACACATGATAAAAAGAAAAAAGAAGCAGAAGCATATGCAGAACGAACCATGTGACCTTTGATTCAGCATTGAATTACGCTATTTTAGTGACCATCATTGTTCATAGTACAAAAAATTTCCCAGAACAAACAAGTTTATCTAATTTGATCCTTTTCAAGTAAATTATTAATTACTTGAATTAAAATCTGGCTTACAGCTATGTATCAGCAAAATGTAGGATTAGCTCAGATATCTCTGGAAGAAGAAATAAAATGAATCGTCCAAAATGACATTTGAGCAAAATACAATTACCGAAGCTGTTAAAGTAAAACAGATGCAAAAGATACAATTACATTACATATATATTAATTACTAATATATTCCTTGAAATAAAAAATGATGCTTTTCACAAAAAGTTTTGAAATGAAATGGACTTTGTCAAATTTAATTCTGAACGTCGAATTAATTCTTCATTAACCGTCTAACGCATAGATTATTCGACATCATGCGCAAAAATTTTTTACTGTGCACGATAAACTGGAGTATGGTAAGAAATGTAGTAAAATAGTGACACCTGAGCAAATAAGCAAGTAAACAAACAAACGAACTAACGAATATTTCAATTGAACACAGCTTCAAATGAAAAAATATTAGAAATCTTTTGGAAACGGTACAACTGGTGTTTTTAAACTTTCAGGACTGCGGCTAACAAAATTGTTACGACCATAGGTTGGACAACCGTTGCCGTTCAGATTCATAGCAGCACCAAGAAATGGCATCAATGGTGACATCATTGCTGCAGTAGCCATTGCTGCCATATGAGATGGATTCGGTGGAAACTGGAAGATTGGTTGTTGAAGACCAGCAGTAGTTGGAGTTAACTTAGAGGCAGCCATGGGTGACCCCAAAGCTCCAAGCATCGGGCTTACTGCTGCTGTTGTAAGTAAAGATGTGAAAGGACTCGTTGGACATAAACCAGCAGAAAGTGAAGCCGCTGCATAAAGTTGACTGAATTGAGTAACCAGAGGTGACGTGTTCGTATACGCATTACCTGTATTATTATGAAGAAAAAAAGGTGAGAGTACCAGTAGATTGTTAGATGATGATGATGATAATTCGGATCCGTTGGAGAATGCTGCTGTTGCAGAAAGATTAAGCGGACGTGGTTTAACCCGTTTCAAGGAAGGTATTTGGGTACCATGCGTTCCACTCCCACGGTCCGTAATTGTTGCTGGAGGATTTGACGGATATGATAGTGATTTCGATAAGGGTATAATGGAGGATGGAACCGTCGAGGATGAGGGCGATGTCACTGTGGTGGTTGTTTCGGGAGCGCTACAACTGAACATCGGAGTTTTCCTCTTTCTGCATATCACTCCAGCATCAGCGTTTGTATTGATCGCATTCTGCAAACCACTCGGTGGAGAACAACTTACCGACACACAGCTATATGGACACTGTCCACTGGTTGATGGTATCGGTGAAAAATCCGGTGCTGCTGTTACTGTTGTAGTATTGTTAATCGTTGTCCTAGTATCGCCATTTATTGAAGTAAGCACACTATCTGGTGTTGCTTCTAATCCACCATTATTTTCTCCATTCTTTGTGCTGAAATGAGGAAAACTTCGAAAGTATGGGTAAGATTTGGCACTTTGTGCATTTTACTTAACTATGTTTAATAAATATTTTTTTACGTCGAACTATATAATCCGGGAGTTTCTTTTTTTGTGAATTATCAATAAATTCTATCCTCTCGAATCCTAAGACGATACTTTTGTCCGAAAAGTAAACATGCAAAACTAGATACCTCGCAGAAGGCGATGCATTCATATTGGAAATACAAATAGCCTGCATGGCTTGCGCACCGATGACACCTGAACCAGCAACCACTGAAGATGCAACAATTGGTGAGCTACTACTTCGCATTAAGCCATGACAGTCCGCTAAAATCTGATTTAAATTTTGAAATTTAAAATTGTGAAGAATTTCGAGAAAGAAATTCAAATAATTCATTATTTCTTTTATACCATTTACAGAATATGGTAAACTAAAATGTGAAACAAAAATCAAACCAGCAGCAGAGCAGTCAGTTGACATACCATCGACATCTCGTGCAATAGCACATTGCAACGCATCAGGTGTACATCCTTCCGGAAATGTTACAAATCGATACACAAATTTTTGTCCGATTACCTGAAAAGATAATGGATAATAAGAGATTTTGGAAAAATTAAGAAGCCGATTATCATAAAATTTAATCGGATTGTTTACTTTTGTTTCATATCTCTTTACCTTTGTTTCATATATTTTCGTTTTATAAAACATGATGAAAGTGGAAAGATATTTGAGAAACTTCGATCATTTCGAATCTTTACAAGAATGGAATAGACTATTCATAGGTCAATCTGTACAAGAATGGCATTCCTGTACAGATTGACCTATGAACCTATGACTGGTTCCCATTTCTTAGATTAGTTGATGGAGTAGAAAATTAGATTTTGCACCTTTTTGATGATATTCTTATCATAATAGTATCGTAATGCACGTGACAATTTGTCATAATTCATATGTGGTTTACTTTTACGTTGTCCCCATAATCGTGCAACCGCTTCTGCATCCAGTAACTGCAAATCAGGATATCAAAAAAGTAGCAACATCTGTCTCAAATGAGTTTCTTCAATGCCTATCAATCATATCTTCCCCTCTTCTTTTCCTTTTCTTATGAAGTACCCCGAACCAAGGGAAATATTTACTATTTATAGCTTGAGTGGATGACCTTGTGCTTATTATACTATACTGCCACAACAATACTACTTCGACACTACCGTAAGGATATGACTGTATTCATTAATTTACTTAAATATACAGGCTATTCCTTCTGATTATTCCAATCAGAGCTTTATATACTTTTACGCAGATCGTTTCATTTCTCAAAATTGACCATTAAAGGGTTTATAGTAATCAGGTCATACTGTAAACAATTTCTAACAACTTTTGAATATCTTATCATTTCATTTTATTTCTTCAGAAAGGTCGAAATACTCTGAAATCAACCTAGCATATAACTTGAAACTTCCTTTTTATGAGGAATTAAACCTTGAAACACTCAATTACAATGCATTTACCCATCCATCAGAAGGTTACTAGATTACATCTAGGACAGAATTTAAATTTAATTTTTATCATGAATGTGATTTACTTTGTCGATCCCATTATGCTTCAAGAGATCTGTATAAAAACTTATCATTGCACAGTAAGTTCGACTTAAACAGATCCCACTTCTTAGCTGACAACTTTTCTCCTGAATGCTTAATTTATCACTCATAGCAAAAAAAAAAAAAAAAAAAAAAGGAATTCCGATCGATCTCTTATCGATACTGCCAAACATTCTCTAATAATTTGAATTGTCTTTTAAAAAAAAGATTCAAAGAAAGGACACCTTAAATTCGCCTTGCTGATTTGTCCATTGGATCAGGTCGGTATGTTCACCTTTAAGCAGCAACTCTAGAAGGAATTGCCATAAGGTGATATTGGAATCCGTAGTAGCGAGTATAGATTGAGGATTACTCGACGGTTGCAGTATGCTGTTTTTGATATCCTTCGGAGTGGACCTTTCGCTATCACAGTTTTCATGAGTTAGACTTGCTGTGACTGATTGTTCAAGAACCGGAAATGTTATCACTGGTGGTTTACCATCAGTCAATACATTTTGATCCAAACTTACTGTTTGTGAAGTAGTTAACGGACTTTGAATAGAACTACTACGGCTATTACTACTGTTACTACTGGTCACCCCACCGGAAAACGTGAGGTTACCAGGGCCAGCTTGGCTGTAAGACGGTAATGCAGTTGAATGTAGCAGGATTGGTGTTGCACTGAGCGATTTATCACCGCTCCTCGTTCCTTTTACACATTCAATTTACTACAGAAACACGACAACGTCCTCGTTATCACAAACAAACTCCAAAAAGTGAACTCTCACACTGAAATTTGAAAATATTTTCAATAACAGAAACGCTATTGTCTCTCATTAGCATATGCGACGAGCAATTCAACTTATAATATGTGGACAGTTTAATTGACAATTTAATAAAGTTGATTAGAAAAGAAAAATCAACTGAATACAATGAATTCCAGTAAAGTAGGATTAAAAATCATCGATATTGTGATTAGGATAATGATTGAAGCAGTTAAATTGACAAATTGAAAAGATGTGTTCCTATCTTTTTTAGTGCATGAAGTAAAACATCACAATCCAATATTTGCTTTTAGGTAAATCCGATTAAGAAATAGACCTCACTAATACATTTTAAATTATCGGCTATATTTTGAAATACAAGAAACTTCAAAATCACAAATCAAATTTCAAACTTATACCAGTTCTCAGAAAGAATCCTCATAACACAAATGTTAACTACATGGCATTTGCTCAATATGGCTACTAAAAATGCCATTCTCCAACAATACAGCAGTTGTAAACCACCGAAAAAGACGCATCACAAAATTTCCATTTTTTTAAAATTTACTATCAGTGAGCAAAAGAACAATTATTATTCTAACAATAATTATAAACCATATTTTTAAAAATTTGTACCCAAATATTTTGACTTTTATGGGATTCATATTCATATTCACTGAAAACTTCCAAGCCTCTTTTCGAAAATCTGCTGAGCATCGGATAGTAAATAAGTTTTAACTTCTATTTAACAACTCACATTTAAGCTAATAGTGAACAAGAAATTGAGTCAGTCAAATTACTTAACTAACATCTAAAACGTGGAACATTAAAATCTGTCGCAAGAAAATAAATTTAAAAAAAAAAAATCTAATGCAAACAAATGAAGTTAATGTGGAGAATTCATTGGAATGATGATGAAGTGGAAAAAAAGCAAGAAGGAAAAGGGAACGGAAGATGAAGAATGAAAGGTTATGATAAAAACGCTCCTCTCTTTTGTACAACATTGCAAATCAAAGACGTCACACAATTATCATCATAAAATGTCTCTTACATTTGAATTCAATGAAAAAAGAAATGGAAATTTCCCATAAGCACTGCAAAAATCTCTAATAATTAATTGGGAAAGCACTTGTGATAGGGACGAAATAAGTATCAATTAATTAATAAGATGGGAATACAGTATCTGTGAAACAGACGTTAGATTTTACAATTACCAGTGTTATCATGCACATAATATATATATATATATATATATATATATATATATATATATATATATAGATAGATAGATAGATAGATAGATAGATAGATACATATATATATATATATAGATAGATAGATACATATATATATAGATAGATAGATAGATACATATATACACACGTGTCAAAATTAGGTAGAATGATTCAAACGATAAAAATTACTTTATTTACAAAAGATATTAATGAGTGTTAGCATGAATAAGCTGCAGACTATAACGATAACTCCTTACAAGTCATTTTCTATTTCGTTTCAAGAAAAAAAAAGAAAATTAAAATTTTGAAAATTTGAAATGACAAAACTGTTGATGACACTGTCACAATCACGAATCCAGAAGTGATGATGTATGACAAGTTGCTTATCCTAATGAATGTCATATATTGCCTAAGGATATTCGATAAAAGCAGCATAAGACTTGAAAATGATAATACGAAAGGTGGAAAGGATTAACAAATCCTACAACATGAAGAAACTGAAATTGTTACATTCGTTGACTAAATTTAAGTTAATTTATTAAATTTCCAAATGAAGTAATATTAAATGTAGCATATATAATTTTTTCAGTTAGCTTCAGCATTTATTTCATTACTTCTCTCTTTTCTGCTATTCGTCTCTTCGGTTATTTTTTCGTATTTTTTTTTGCTATCAAAATTTCTTCATCACAGTAAAAGGAATTATTTCATAATAAATGCAAAGTTGAAAAAATTGAAATTTAAATCCTCCAACCCATCCCATCATCTCGTCTACAGTTTGTACTTCTTCGATAATTTAATTGATAGAAATGCTTATATTGTCATGAATTACAGATGTATAATATTGCTCCTTTCCTACTAACAAGAAAACTAGAAATAAGTTATTTCTAGTAGATGCATAATTTGTAATTAGCTTGACAACCGTAATGTTCTTGTAGGATAAAAGAGAATGATAGAAGTTTTCTTTTATCTGAATTGTTCATCCATTGTTAAACGAGGTGACACGCTCATTAATTCTATTTTGCGAGAAATATTTACTTCCACAAAAAATTGATATTTTATCAATCACTGTGAAAGAAGCAATTTTTCTGGGGAATGAAATTTTTCCAAAAAATCATGAAGTGATATAATCTTCTTTTCAATTCTTACAAAATGAATTTCGAAGGAATTAATTAATAAATTAACAATAATCCAGCGAAAAAGTTAAGTTTATGGAAATACGTCAGACTCATTTACACCTGAATGCATGAAATACGAAACGGATCCGTACTAATTAGTAAACAATATTAAAAAGCAGGTTCTGAGGACAAAAAGAAATATGGTCACAACTGGAAAGAAGAATAACATTGAGAAGAATAACTAGAAAGAAGAATATCACAACAGAATAACATTTCATGGTATCATATTTCTAGATTACCTGGAAATGTGGATAATATCAGTTTTGCAACATGGTTGTTGATGCCAAGTTAAGTTAGCGCACTTAAAGTAATACTAAAGCAATATAAAATCATCGACAGAATGATGACAACAACAGTACATTGAACAAGTTAGAGGGAGGGAGAGGAGGAGAGAAATATTTTGACGAAAATCTGGGTACCACCCGAACTCAACATAACCATCAGGATGGAGAAGAAAAATGTGCACAGCGTGGAAGAGAGCATCACAGAAGCGAGCATAGCAAAAGCCGGTTTCAACATTTCCTTTTTACCGTTTCTTCAGCTGTCACCATAGATGGGAGAGGGAACGAATCATTGTAGTGCAAGATTTTCCTCCTATTTTTAAGCAAAATTGGCAGTAACGGAACTTACGTCACGCTGATTGGTTTATCATCTCAACTATCATAGTTTTGTCCATTACAAAATGCCGAGAAAGGAGGAGATAAAAGGATACAGTGAAGGCACATTTTCTGCGTTATTTCCAACGTGTTAGTTTACACCCGATCGCTCCACTCTTTTTTTTCGGATTTTCGTATACAGCCAGTTGCTCACAAATTGTTTGGTATAACCAGAAATAATTATAATGATTTAATCATTATTCCAAAAAAAAGCGAGAATAAAGCCTTAAAAAGTTAGAATGAGACAAATGATACGATAAATGTACTTGCTGAGTTGTAGTATGAATAAACCTGAAATAATACTTTTTAAGCAGCAGTTGCAAAGAATAAATCAAAGATTGAAAATGGGCGATTTTGGCAAGAAATATACTATTTTTACTAATAATTCGAAAATAAAAAATATTTTTGGAGGTTATCGTATCCTATAATGATCCAGACTTAATTAAATATTATCAGATATAAGAGCTCTTCTTTCGGGCTACATTAAGTTTGTCTATCAAAACAATAATTGGTACTATTATTTCAAGACATCGGATACACTACTATAACGGATAGATGACGTTACATATAAATTAATAAGATTTATTGAAGGAGAAAAAAAGAATTTCACCTTCTAAATGCCTATTAAAACGGAAGAAAAAAAACGGAGGAAATTTAATACATCTGAACATAGATAAGGTCGCTGACTGGAGCGGTGAATCAACAGTCCCTGGTGACACTCGTATCATGCGCTACTGTTACCGCCATCTCCGTCATCGCCCTCGTTGCTGTCACCAAAGTATCCAACAAAACTCGCTATTTTTCTTGCCGCCTTTTCACATGCACTAAATGTAAAAATGATCATCCACTTATCCTCTTCCGTATCCGCCAGAATTTCGCGGTTATTTCTCTGTTTGAAATATTTATGGATTACACAAACTACCGTAACTGAAGATAAAACTGTTTGAGAAAACTTCACTCTGTTGTAAAACCAGATTAAATCTTGAATAGCAATGAAACGAAACCACAAAATGATAATTAGCACAGAAATGATTGTGTTATCACACTAGCAAATACACAATATATACAACAGCCAATAAACAGAGAGAAATTTCATTTGAAACAAATACCTTTAAATAAGCCTTAAAGAGAGAAATTGAAAAAGGAAGAATTCACGAAAATCTCACTTTCTCCTAAATTTATTTCCTATAATTTCCTCCAACTCTAAACTTTCTCTTATTTTTAAACATATATGCATTCGTTCTTTCTTCTCTTTGTTTTCCCTCCTCTTCCTAGCCTGTCCAGTGATACATCCCTATCTGAATAACAATAAAAAATTTGAAGGCTTTGTAATAGATGGTTGAAGTGCAAATAAAAAATATGGTAGATTTCGTGATTAACAACTTTTTCGAAAAAATCATTGTTTTTTTTTTTGTTTCTTTTTTTCCCCTCTCTTAATTTCTCCAGTCTTTTTATCCAGAATTTTAACAACATACAAAAGTGAAAAAAAAAAAAAAAATTCTTTTTCCCAAGCAAATCATTGAACAGTTGGCTACAATTTAATCGATCAAAAATTTGTTTAAAACACTGAAAATTTTCAAAAGTTGACAGCTTTTATTTTGATGTACTTAAAGATGAATTAATGAATCTGTCTCTGATATAAAAGCAATTCATTTCACAAATGTTATGAGTTCTCGCTTTCTCCTTTTTCCTAATAACATAAGATACATTCCATAACCATTTTTGCTTTCTTTCATTTGTCTTAACATTTGTGCCTCTTGTTATATTATCTTAAATAATCGAGAAATCAAAAAATATTCTTTAGCCCTCACATACATCTACAAATGCATAAATATGTATACAGTCACAAACTTATACTATTTGTTAAAAAAAAAATGTACCAATTGGTATCAAAGAATGCGGATGTAACGCTACGACTGTTGTCGATAAATGATGAATCATTTGTCTTCGACGAACGAACAAGTACACCACTTCACAATTAAACAGTTAACTTCTTTTTTTCTCCTCCCTTCTCTCTCCCCCCTCCTTTCACTCTCCCTCTTTACCCCTTTATTGTTTGCTATTAATAAAAAGTATACTAAAATATTGGATGAATTAATTTAGATGAAGGAAGAAGATATGATAATAATAATTAATAAAAATAATGACAATAATAATGATAATAATAATAGCTTTATCATCATTATCTTATTCTTGATACTGTTATGTTGGAAAAAATTGATTTCAGAAATTGAGAAGGGAAAGGAGGAAAAAAAAGAAAGAGAAAAGAACAATTATGTGAAGATGTTATCCATGGCAGTTATATTTATTTCTTCTATCAATCAACTCTATCAAAATTAAACAGAAAGGGAAAAAGAGGTAGAAGAACTTCGTTTTATCCTTTTCCTTCTCAATTTCACTTCAAAAAGATCACAATTTAAAAGTTAGAAC